TATTTAGCCGGAGAAAAGATTGAAGGAGGCCGGGCACAGTGGCTTATGCCTGTAATCCCAGCACTTTGGGAGGCCGAGGTAGGTGGATCACTCGAGGTCAGGAGTTCGAGACCAGCCAGGCCAACATGGTAAAACCCCATCTCTACTAAAAACACAAAAACTTTTAGTACTTTTTTTGGCACGTGGTGGTGCATGCCTGTAGTCCCAGCTACTTGGGAGGCTGAGGCGGGAGAATCACTGGAACCAAGGAGGAGGAGGTTGCAGTGAGTCAAAACATGCCACTGCACTCCAGCCTGTGTGACAGACTGACTCCATTTCAAAAAAAAAAAAAAAGAGGATTGAAAGACTGATCCATGTATGCATCAATGTGGATAAACCTTGGAAACATCATGCTAAGTGAAAGAAGCAGTCACAAATATATTGTGTGATTTCATTTATATGAAATGTCCATAATAAGCAAATCTGTAGAGACAGGAAGTAGATTAGTGGTTGCCAGGGGCTGAGGGGTAGAGGAGACAGGACATGACTGCTAACGGGTGTGAGTTTTTTTGGGGGTTAATAAGAATGCTCTAAAATTAGATAGTGGTTTTGGTTGTACAACCTTAAATATACTAAAACAACCACTGAATTGAATACTTTAAAAGCATGAATTTTATAGGATATAAATTATGTCTCAATGGTGTTACAAAACAAAAACACAACAAAAAGAAATAGTAAACTTAGGCCAGGCTCTCTGCATACTTAGAAACAGAGGTTAGTATCTAATGTCAGTTTATGTAAGTTCCTCAGGGGCAGTAATTATTTGAGTATTTCAGGTACTTATCACAGTGCCTGAACATTGTAAACACTTAAGTCTTTCTTAAAATAATTAATATTATGAGGCTGGGCACGGTGGCTCACGCCTGTAATCTCAGCACTTTGGGAGGCTGAGGCGGGTGGATCACGAGGTCAGGAGATCAAGACCATCCTGGCTAACACAGTGAAAACCCGTCTCTACTAAAAATACAAAAAATTAGCCGAGTGTGGCGGCGTGTGCCTGTAGTCCCAGCTACTTGGGAGGCTGAGGCAGGAGAATGGTGTGAACCCGAGAGGCAGAGCTTGCAGTGAGCCGAGATTGTGCCACTGCACTCCAGCCTGGGGGACAGAGTGAGACTCTGTCTCAAAAAAAAAAAAAAAATTAATATTATGATACCAAAAGGAAGAATTTTGTGTGTAAATTATTGCAGATATGTAAGGCCGAAATAAAGAAGATAGGAAATAAAAGCTATTAGAAATTAAAGAGAACTCAACAGGTAGCCAGTTCCAAAATAAACATTAGAAGATTAGTATATTTTCTATATATTTGCAATAACCTAGCCATAAAATGTAATGCAAAGATGTGTTATTAACAAAAACAATATAAAATACCTAAGAATAAACTTATCAAGAAATGTACAGAAGTCTATGTTGGGGAAAAAAAAAGACAACATTTTCCCAAAGGACATTAAAGAAAAGGTGAAGGTTTACTATATTCATGGATGGGAAGACTTAATATTATAAAGATATTACCTCTCCCCTAAACAGATCTGTATATTTTATGTAACCCCATCCAACTCCAACAACATTTTGTGAGAAGAACTAAGTGATTGTAAAGTACATATAAAGGAAAATGTGTCCAAAAAAAAATCCAAAATAACCAAGAATATTTGGAAGAGAGGAATTATAATTGAGATTTGCTGTGTCAAAGAGTAAAGTGTATTATAAAGCTACAATATTAGCACAGAAATAGCAGCTAGATCATATAATAAAACATCAACAAAATGCTAACATTCATTGAGTATGCTGTGTGTTGTGGGTATTTACATAATTCTCATACATGTCTGTAAGGGTAGTTACTGTTTTATTCCCATTTAACAGATAAGAAAACTGAGATTCATACAAAAATACAAAAAATTAGCTGGGCATGGTGGCAGGCGCCTGTAGTCCCAGCTACTCGGGAGGCTGAGGCAGGAGAATGGCGTGAACCCAGGAGGCGGAGCTTGCAGTGAGCCAATATCACACCACTGCACTCCAGCCTGGGCAACACAGCGAGACTCCATCTCAAAAAAAAGCAAACTGAGATTCAGAAAGGTTTAATAACTTGGCTAACTTGTTGATAACAATCAACAGGGTATTGGTTAAATAAAATATGGTATACTTTTACAATTAAAGACTATATGTGACCATTTAAAGTTATGTAGAATATTAGTGACACAGTAATTAGGATAATTATATTAAACAAAAAAGTAGATTATAAAACAATATGATCCCATTTAAGATATATATATATAAAGGTTTATATATGACATATGTATACTATATTTTATTTAATTGGTGCCATGTTAATTGTTATTCAGGCTCATGCTAACTTCTGGCTTTTATCACAGTGCTATGAATAACATTCTCATATCTAAATATTTTTAGAGAGCCTCATTTATTTCAGGGTAAATACCTAGAATTAAACTTTGCTAATTAAGAACACCAAATCTAGGTATCAAAATAGGTTTGTTTTCTTGCTCTTCCTTGTACTTCTACAAACCTAGCCAAGTTATTAGACCTTCCTGAATATATATGTATATAATATATATATAGCATATATATCATATATAAATCTTACATATATATCTTAAGTGGGATCATATTGTTTTGTAATCTACTTTTTCTGTTTAATATAATTAAACAGATCTCATTTAAGAGACATATATATAATCTTTTCTGTTTGATATAATTAGATCCCATGTAAGATACATATATATATAATCTTCTCTGTTTAATATAAACAGATTCCATTTAAAAGATATATATCTTAAATGAGGTCATATTTTGTAATCTACTTATTCTGTTTACAGAAAGATTCTTGTTTTTGGTACAAAACTCATTTTTTTTCTCTGCATATATATGTATCAAAAATGATTTTCTTTGAGTGATAAAATTATGAATGATTTTGGCCGGGTGCTGTAGCTCACGCCTGTAATCCTAGCACTTTGGGAGGCTGAGGCAGGTGGATCACTTGAGGTCAGGAGTTCGAGACTATCTGGCCAACGTAGTGAAACCCTGTCTCTACTAAAAATACGAGAAATTAGCTGGGCATAGTGGCGCGTGCTGTAGTCCCAGCTACACAGGAGGCTGAGGCAAGAGAATCGCTCGAACCCAGGAGGCAGAGGTTGCAGTAAGGCAAGATCGCGCTACTGCACTCCAGCCTGGGTGACAGAGCAAGACTGTCTAAAAAATAATAATATAATAAATTACAAATGATTTGTATTTTCTTCTTGTTTGTTGATATTTTCTAATTTTTCCACAGTGAAATAAATGTTCCTTCTCTAAAAATTTTTTTTCAATAAAATTATTATGTTGCTCTTGTTTTTTTTAAACAAGATATGTGAGGTTGTTGTCATTCTTTCATTATTCACCCTGCCAGCTGGCTTAGCTGCTCCTCTGTGCTCCTGCAGTCCCGTGTTTCCCTTGATCCCAGTATATTGTCGTAGTAATTATAGCGTATTGTTATTACTTACTTTTCTGACTCCTATTTCTATATACTTGGTGCCTGTAACAATATTTGGCTCTATAAATGCTTCAGGAAGGAAAGACTGGGAATCAAAGGAAAAAAAAGAGGAAGTGAGGGAGAAGGGAAACCCCCTTGCAGAGATATAGGTCTAAGGTTTTTTTTTCTGTATTTAGGCAGCTTCTTTCCCCAATATCCAAAAGCAAGTGGTGGATGGTATATTACTCATATAATTCTTTATACTGATAGAGAAAATGAGTTGAACAACAAGAACAAAAAAGGCCTTGATTTCAGAACCACTTGTCTTTAAGTCCTGATTGCGAGGAACCAAAAATATATGTAAGGCTAGCTGTGGTAGCTAACCCCTGTATCCCAGCACTTTGAGAGGCTGAGGCAGGAAGATTGTTTGAGCCCAGGAGTTTGAGACCAGCCTGGGCAGCATACGGAGATTCTGTCTCTATACACATACACACACATACACACACACACACACAGATCTAGATCCTGTCTCTACACACACACATAAACACACACACACATTCAATTAACCAGTTGTGGTGGCACATGCTTGTAGTCCCAACTACTTGGGGGAGGCTGAAGTATAAGGATTGCCTGAGCGCTGGAGATTTACCCTGCAGTGAGCCCTGATTGTGCCTCTGCCCTCCAGCCTGGGTGACAGAGTGAGACCTTGTCTCAAAAAAAAAAAGAAAATAAAACAATATATAAATAAAATTTATATGTTTATATAGATACCATTTATATGCTTATATATATGTCATTTATATGTATGTGTAAACACACACACAGAGAAGGGAAGGTGGGGATCTTTACATTTAGAAATGCCAGAGTGAATCTTTCCCAAATTATTGGAACATATGAGGGCTATTTTGGCAGAAAATGCTGCCCTGTCCCTCCTTCCCTTTTAGATACCAGTTGTATCTAAAAAGGCCTTTTTGGTTTTTTTTGAGACAAGGTTTTGCTTTGTTGCCCAGGCTGGAGTGCAGTGACATGATCATAGCTCACCATAACCTCAAACTCCTGGGCTCAAGTGATACTCCCATTTCAGCCTCCTGAGTAAGTGGGACCACAGGCATGCACCACTATGCTTAGTTAATTTTTTTATTTTTAGTGGAGACCAGATCTCACTATGCTGCCCAGGCTGGCCTTCAATTCTTGGGCTCAAGTGATCCCCCTACCTCTGCCTCCCAAAGTGCTGGGATTACAGGAATGATCACCATGGCTGGTTTTACAGCTAGCCTTACATATATTCCACATTTATTTTTAATAAAAGACTTGGCAGATGTGGGAGTTGTTGCCTGCTTGCCTTTCAGACTTTTCTGGGTAAAAGATCATAAAGGACCTTGGGGACTGCTCCCTGGCCCAGATACTCATATCATGTATCTATTTAAACATGAATTTGCTTGAGGAGAAAGCCAGAGAAATGGACTTAATGTAACCCCAGTGTTATTTTTCTTTCCAGGAAGGGGAACAGTTTGTGAAGAAAATCGGTGGTATTTTTGCCTTCAAGGTGAAAGATGGCCCTGGGGGTAAAGAGGCCACCTGGGTGGTGGATGTGAAGAATGGCAAAGGATCAGTACTTCCTAACTCAGGTTAGTTTGGGAATGACTTCATTTCTAGGAGCACTGACAAGTTTACAAAGGCTGTCAGCTGGGAAAATGGGGGTCTGCTCTACTGTTCCCCTAAAGGACTGGCTTTTAATGTTAAAGAACCAGTGAATTCCAGGGAACAGGAGCAGGTCAAAGCCACCTCCTCCCAAGGATTTGCAGGCTCCATCACAGAGTTGCCAATCTTAGGCTTTGGAATTAGGCAAACTTGGGTTGGAGTCCCGTCCATGCCATTCACATATTCTGACCTTGAATAAGTTATTTAACTTTTCTGAGACTCGGTTTTCTCTTCTGTAAATGGGCTTAATAAATGGCCCCTTTTCATAGGATTGGTATGAAGATTAAGAGGATTCTCTCTTAATTAACCTGTAAAGCACATGGTCCAATGCATGGCTAGTGGCCTTGGAAGACCTGTCTATAGTCACTATCGCCAGTTATCCTCATCCAAATCTTTCTTGAACTCACTCTAGTCAGCTTTTGTCCTCATCACTATCCCCGGACTGTTCCTGTCAAGGTCACCAGTTACTACCACATTGCTAAATTCAGTGGTTAATTCCCAGCCCTCATGATAGTACACTTACACGTGTTCCTTGCCTACTGGCTGTTCCTCCTTGGCCTCTCTTGATGGTTTCTTTTTGTCTTCAAATTTCTAAGCATTGGAGTGTTCCAAGGCTCAGTTCTATTTGCCTTAATTCCTTGGGGATCTTATCTAGTCCCATGCTTTGAAACAGTTTCTACACTAATGACTGTCTTTAGCGTGGACCCAGCCACTGAACTACAAGGTATATATCCAGCTGCTTAACTGACAAGTTTACTTGGACACCTAAAGCTAACATGTGACACAAAGCTAACATGTGAAACTGAACTCCTGATCTTTCTTCTTCTCCCCTGTAAGTGTGTACTCCTCTTGCTATGATCCCATTCTTGGTAAATTGCTCCTGTGTCCTACTGGTTCCTTGGTCTAAAAACCTTGAAGTCATCTCTGGCCACTTTTTTTCTCTTACACTCCACAGTTTAACCCATCAGCACATCTTGTCCTCCTCTGTAGCCACCACCACCCTGGTCTAAGCCAGCATCATTGTTTTATCTGGTCTCCCCACTTCTATTCTTGCCCACTACTCTGCACACCTGCCAGAGTGATCATTTAAAAACTTGCCGAATTGTTACCTTCCTCTGCTCAAAAGCATCCAATAGCTTTGTCTCACTGCAGGTAAAAACAAAGTTCTTAAAATTGTACTGTATGATCTGGCCCCAGTTTTCACTGTCTTACTATGTATGTCCTTGCTCACTTGGCTCCAGTAACACTGACTTTTTTGCTGTTGCATGAATGTGGGATTCTCTTGGTTGGGGACTTTTCTACTCTCTGTTCCCTGTCCGGAATTACCTTCTCCCAGGTATCCTTGTGGCCTATTCCCTCCTTTCCTTTGGATCTTTGCTCAAATTTCACCTTCTCAGTGAGCCCCTCCCTAACCACCCTTTTTAAAATCTTACCCCCATGGTGAAACCCCATCTCCAATAAAAATACAAAAAAATTAGCTGGGTGTAGTGGCGAGCACCTGTAGTTCCACCTACTCAGGAGGCTGAGGCAGGAGAATGGCGTGAACCTGGGAGGTGGAGCTTGCAGTGAGCCAAGATCACGCCACTGCACTCCAGCCTGGGCGACAGAGCAAGACTACATCTAAAAAAATATATATATATATATATATATGTGTGTGTATATATATATATCACCCCCATTACCATTCCCTATTGCCCTTTTCTGCCTTATTTTTCTTCATAGCACTTATTACTATCTGATATACCATGTAATATTTTACTTACTTTCTTTTTGTCCATCTCACTTGAATTGTAAGTTCCTTGAAGACAGAGCTTTTTGTCTGAGGTATACTGCTGCATTCCCAGTGCTTAGAATGTACCTGACACATGGTAGGCCTTCAAAAATGAATAATTTAAAAATGGACAACAGAATGAATGAATGGTTCCGAGTAAGCGTTCAGTAAGTGGTAGCTGTACTGTACTGTTATGCTTCTCTTGTTGGAGAGAGCCTAGGGTAATTTAGAAACACTATGGATTGGGACCAGCTTTTTGGAGGGCTTAAAATGCCGTGATAGGGGCTGGGCAAGGTGGCTCACACCTGTAATCCCAGCACTTTGGGAGGCCGAGGCGGGCGGATCACAAGGTCAGGAGTTCAAGACCAGCCTGGCCAACGTGGTGAAACCCCATCTGTACTAAAAATACAAAAAATTAGCTGGGCGTAGTGGTGCATGCCAGTAATCCCAGCTACTTGGGAGGCTGAGGCAGGAGAATTGCTTGAACCCAGGAGGCGGAAGTTGCAGTGAGCCAAGATGGCACCACTGCACTCTAGCCTGGGCAACAGAGCAAGACTCTGTCTTGAGAAAAAAAAAAATGCCATGATAGGAACTTTGAAAGTCATTTGGTATATAACCAGTATACCAAAGCTTTTTAATATGCTTTAGAGCTTCCTAAATAGAAAAGTGAAGTCAGAGCTGTGTTTTAGAGGATGAAACTGGTACATTAGACCTGATGAATTGAAAGGGGTGAGATCAGAAGCAGAGAGAGCCATCAGGAGGATAGATGTTGCCACTGTCTAAGTGAGCGGAGAGGATGGCCAGCCTTTGTGCAGACAGTGGGAAAAGTGAATGTTGTGAGAGTAGATGCCAGAGATACTAGAGGTGAAGGTAATGGGACCTGGGAATTGTATGGAAGAAGCATGTCTGTCAAAAATGGTGAAATTTTATTACTGACACATTTTTGAGGGAGGTCCTTTTGGAAAGGACGACATCAGGAGCACAGGTGGAAGCAAGGTTACCTCTAGTGAAAAGGGATGGATGGAAACTTCTTTCTCTGAAAGGGCAGGTAAATATTCAGGGGCATTTTGAGAGGAGAGGAGGTCGGCAAGCTCCTGGAATAGAGTATAGAGCTTGGAGTGTGGAGAAAAAGTGAAGAGTACTGTTAATGTCCATGGTTCAATAAGGGATTGATGAGAGATGAATGAAAGAAAAATTGAGCAGTAGTTAGGGCATCTGTCTAGTGTGAGCAGCATGACTTTGTTGTGGAAGGTTCCTGAATTATACAGAGTCCCTTTTTTTTCCTTCCAAAATGAATGGGCAAAAAAATGATCATAACTGCATTCTATGCCACTCATAACTGCATAGCCGCCACTCTAAGGTGGTGTACAAAGAAAAGCTAAAGGCTTTATCTGGATTCCAGCTTTTAGAAATAGAAAGAACTTCAGGAATTATATTAGTGATTTTTTTTTTAATGACTGAAGGTTAATGTTACTTTTGTATTTAGATATGCCCATACTGATATTAAGGTTGTTTTAAAAAAATTTCTCCTTCTCCTCCTATTTTGTTGTTGTTGATTGATAGGGTTGGTTTGTTATCAGAGATCATATGCTGATGGAAAGCTGTTGAATGATTTTGGAAAAGCTGTGTTCACTCCAGATAGGTTCTTGCCATGTTCTTCCCACATTAGGTGCTGTACCCCAGACCCCAAGGGATCTTACCCTGGGGCAGGATAATTTCTGCTGAAACTGACACTTGTTGGCAGCCAAGAGTGGTGCTGAAATACAGACTTACCAAGAAAAGCCATCACTGGAAATTGCCAGCTCCTTTTACATCAACCAACAAATGGCTATTTGTTAGAGATTAGCTACATTAAAGCATTAATAACCTGTCCTAGTTTGAACCGGCATCTTAAGGAGAATTGCTAGTTCATTTGGCATATACATAACGTTAGGGGGTTTGTTTATTGTTAACAAAGTAAGATTTACTTAAATGTATTTTGTAAGAGCTTGGTAATGATTATTGAGATGAATATATTACGGATTTTTAGATTTTGTGCATTTTCCATCATCTGTTTTTGCTGCCTGGGTACCTTTTAGTATCTCCTCCACGAGTTCTGCCTTTGCCTCATCTCCTTTGAAACAACTCGTATAGCATATATCCAGGAAGCCAACTTTGATTAATCTAACATAAGATATTATTCCTTCATTCTTTTATTCTGCCCCTTCAGCACCTTGAGTTCTCAACTTTCTCCCTTTATGGGCAGCATGATACAGAAAGCTTCAGGGTCTCCTAACCCCAAGGTACACTAGAAAGAGCATAGCCTTTTAGAAACACCCAAAACTGGGTTCAGATCTAGGCTCTGTCACTTAGAGGGTATATACCTTCCCTGAGTCTAGTGGTCTTATCTAGAATATGATGAGAATAGTTTGTATCCGTAGAACTGTTGTGGGGATTAAATGAGATAAGGAAGATAGAGCACCTAATAAGTGCTCAGTAAATCATTGTTTCCTCCCCAACCATATGTTAAACATTAATTGTGCTTAGACATACAGGTTTGTCTAAGGCTCCCAAAAGGACTTTGAAAACTTGGAAACCATCTGGGATTCATCAAATGCTGATAAATCAGTGAAGGCACAGTTAAAACTGAGCTGTTGAATGTTTACATACTTCCTACAACAAAAGGAAGCAATAGAGCATAGGAATTGGGAGTATGAGCTTTGGCAACAGGAATCTGCATTCAGATGTAGCTCAGCTACTTACTAGCTATGTGGTCTTAGGCAAGTTATTTGGTCCCTCTGACCCTTATAGGATTGTTATAAAGATCAGATGAGACCAGGTATGTTGAAGTGTTCAGCATAGTGAGAGCTCAATAAATGCTGATATTACAGCAGTAGCAGTAGCAGATTTTACTTCCTGAAGCCCCCTTTCAATGACCAAGAGTCCTTTCTTGGACTGTTAGGACCAGGTCCAATGATCTCAGTTTGTTTTTTACCTCGTGCTCTTTGATGTTATATATCTGCAAGAGAACTGGATTTTCTAGGCTGTAAATTTGTTTGTTTTTTAAGGATTTAGACCTTTTTTCCAGTATTAAGAGAAAATTTTGTTAGCAGCTAAGTTAGGATAACCATTGAATCTCAGTCTTTTTAGGGGCAATCCCTGAGTTGTAAGACATATAATAAAAACTTTCTATCTTGTTTCAGTTATTTAATAACAGAGGTATACTATGGTTTAACAGTTTATTCTATTTCTTTTTTTTTTTGAGATGGAGTCTCACTCTTGTTACCCAGGTTGGAGTGCAATGGTGCGATCTCAGCTCACTGCAACCTCCGCTCCTGGGTTCAAGAGATTCTCCTGCCTCAGCCTCCCGAGTAGCTGGGATTACAGGCACCCGCCACCATGCTCGGCTAATTTGTGTATTTTTAGTAGAGGTAGAGTTTCACCATGTTGGCCAGGCTAGTCTTGAACTCCTGACCTCAGGTGATCTGCCCACCTCAGCCTCCCAAAATGCTGGGATTACAGGTGTGAGCCACTGTGCCCGGCTTCTATTCCATCTCTTTTATTAAGGTACTGGTTATCTGATTAGCTATTATGCCATAATTTGATCATCTTTTGAAATTCACATAATCTATTAATTTATTCAACAAATGTTTATTGATTTCCTATGTGTCAAGTACTCTTCAAGGGCCTGTGGATATAGCAGTGATTAACACTGACAAGGGCTCTGCCCCTTGAAGTTTTCATTCTGTTGGACAAATACAGACAGAAAACATATACACATATAAGTAGAGTAGTTTCAGATCAGTGCCCTGTGAATAAAATGTGACTTCATTTCAGGGAGAGGCCAGGTTTAATTTGAGCTAATTCTTAATGAGAGGAGGAGCCTACTGTTAGAATCCTATTGTTATATTAATTGATTGCCTAAAACGTTGACTGCTGAAAATGTTGATTTCTTGGTGAATTTTTCCTTTTGCACTTGAAACCTCTCATTTGGACAAGGTAGACACGGCTGATTTAACAATGAGGTATTAGTCTTTGTTGTCCAGTCTTTTTTCCACTATTTCACTTTGATAATAAAATTAATATTTTAAAAGCTTTGTATTATTAAAATTGCATACACTTGATGTAAAAAAAATTATAAAAGATAGACAAATAAAATGAAGAACTACCCTGCCAAAATTCCACTGTCCAGGTTAGGAGTTGGCAAATTATGCCCTGCAGACCTAGCCTACCACCTGTTTTTACGTTTTGTGTTTTGTAAAATTTTTATTGAAGTCTAGCCTGTAGTAAGGGCATAATTCCAGAGTGTACCACATGATGAATGTTGACAAATGAATACACCTCCAAGATTAAGACACAGAATGTTGCCAGCACTCCAGAAGCCTCCCTCCTGCCCGCCTGCTCTCACTATTCACTCCCAAAAGGAACCATTATTTCGAATCCTATCACCATAGCTTGATTTTATTTATAGACCAATAACATTTACTCTTTTTTAGGTCTGGCTTTTTTTATTCAACAGCATAAGATTCATTCATATGGTTGCATGTGGCAGTAGTTTGTGTTTACTATGCAAATACCCCAGAATTCATTCCTAGTGCATTTGATGTATCTTTGCATTGTTTCAAGTTGGGGGCCTGATGAATAATGTTGTTATGAATATTCTTATAGATGTCTTCTAGTGGACATTTCCGTTGTACTTATTTCCACTGGACATGTACCCAGGGCTAGGTGATAAAGTACAGGATAGCCAAACAGGTTTTTCGTGTGGATGTACTATTTTACATTTTCTTCCACATTATATGAGAGTTTTAGTTCCTCTGCATTTTTGACGGTACTTGGTACTTGCCAGGTTTTTTTTTTAATCAGGCTAATCGATGTACAATTGACAATAAACAATAAAATCAACCCTTTTCAGATGTATAATTCTGTGAATTTAGACAAATGCATACAGTTATGTAACTGTCACCAGAAATCAAGATATAGACAGACTGTTTCCATTACCCTCGAAAGTGTCCTCATGTCCCTCTGTAGTCAGCCCCCTCAGGCCCTTTCAGCCACTAGTTTGATTTCTCTCCCTGTAGTTTTGCTTTCCCTAGGAAGTCATACCCATGAAATCATATAGTATGTAGCTTTTTGAGCCTCCTTCTGTCACTGAAATTTATTCATGTTGTTGCATGGATCATCAAGTGTTTTGTTCTTTTTTGCTGCTGAATGTTACCCGTTCACCAGTTGATGCACATTTGGGTTTTTTCCAGCTTTTGGCAGTTATGAATAAAGCCACTATAAGCATTCACATGCAGGTTTTTGTGTGGACATAAGTTTTCATTTTTCTTTGGTGACTACCTAGGAATAGGATTGCTAGTTCATGTAGTATGTGTATGTTTAGCTTTATGTGAAACTTCCAGACTGTTTTCTGAAAATGGCTGTATCATTTTACAGTCTTTCTGATATTATGTTGACCTTTCATTTGTTTCACTTCCTCACTAATGCTGGATATTGCCTTTTTTTTTTTTCTTTTTTAAATTTCAGCCATTTGTTCTAGTAGGTATGTGGCACTCATCATGATTTTAATGTGAATTTTCTGATGGTTAAGGAAGTGAAGCACTGTTTCATGTGTTTCTTGGCCATTTGGAGATCTTTTATATAATGCCTATATGTATCATTTGCCCATTTTTATTTTGGATCGTCTAACCTTTTCTAGTTGAGCAGTAGGAGAGTAGGAGTTTTTTGTTGTTTTTTTTCCCATAATCCACTGTACCTTCGACAGGAGTTCTTCATATAGTCTGGATACAAGTTCTTTGTCAGAGATATAGGAGTTGCAAGTATCTTCTCCTTCCTCTGACTGCCACCTGTTTAAAATAATTTTATTGGAACACAGCCAACATTTGTTTATATATTATCTATGGCTGCTTTTGCACTAAAGGGCAGAATTGAGTAGTTGTGATAGAGACCTACTGACCTGCAAAGCCTAAAATATTTAGTGTCTGATCCATTACAGAAAGTTTGTTAACCCTCGATCTAGATAACCGTATTCATTTTCTATTATGGTATAACAGATTGCCACAAACTTAGTAGCTTAAAATAATGCACACATTTATTAGCCCGCAGTTACCTTGGATAAGTAGGCTGAGGACAGCTTAGCTGGGTCCTCTGCATAGAGTCACACAAGGCTACAGTCAAGGTGTTGGCCAAGGCTGGGCTCTCATCTGGAGGCTTCACTGGGGAAGGATCCATGTCCAAGTTGATTCAGGTTGCTGGCAGAATTCATTTCCCTGTGGCCTTGGGAATGATAGCTTTCCTCTTTTACTGGCTATAGGCCAGAGCTGGTCCTCAGCTCCTAATGGCCAGTTCCCTGCCACATAGCCCTCTCCATAGGAAGTCCATAACATAGCAGTGAAGTCATTCAGAGCCAGCAGGAGAGCAAGAACAAATCTGCTAGCAAGGTGGAATCATTTAATGTAACAAAATCACAAGAGTGACATCTCATTATCTTTGCCATATTCTGTTAGCTAGAAGCAAGTCACAGGTTCTGCTCACACTGGAAGGAAGGGGATGTACACCAGGAGGGTCACCTTAGAGTCTGTCACAGCTACTATCAGTAATATATTGGTGTCTTCAGTTTACAGATGTTTTTCTATATTTATATAGTTGAATTCTGTTTTTAAGCAAAAATGGCATCATACAGTTTATTTTGTAACTGGCATATATAAATAATATCATGAATAATGTAACATGAACATTTTTTTATGTCAGTAAATCCAGATCCATGTCATTTCTTATTGTGGTTTATATCATACCTGACTGTTTGAATATACCATAATTTATTTAATCAATTCCATCTTGTTAAATATCAGGATTGCTTGTGGTTTGTGTCACATTTTACCAGCCTGCCATAGAAGTATATGTGAGTGCCCATTTCCCCACACTGCCTCAGTGCTGGTTGTAATTCTGTTGCAGTCAGTGGCTTTTGACAAAAATGTGTATGTGAAACTGAACACCTCCTTTTCTCCTTCCTTCTCCTGTGTATCTGTTTTAGATAAGAAGGCTGACTGCACAATCACAATGGCTGACTCAGACTTCCTGGCTTTAATGACTGGTAAAATGAATCCTCAGTCGGTAAGTATGATGGAGCTTATATCCTGCTAGTAGGTGGGTTTTCAGCCCTTTCTACTCCATCTCCTGACTCAGACTCTAAAGTGCAAAGTGGTCACACACACAAAACTCTGCAGCGTTCCCCAAACAAGTGACACATGTCTGTGGAGCAAGCTATGTGCCAGACACTGTCTTGTGTGCTGGAAGTGCCCAGAAGAATAAGAAATAGTTCCCACGCTCAGGGCATCCACAGATCTGGAAAAGAGTCAGTGCAGCCAGAGATCCAAGGTGCCACACCTGACTTGTGGTCAGGGGAGGATGAAGGCAGGAGCAGCCATATCTCTCTGGGCCATCAGGGAGAGCCCCACAGAGGAAGCAGCTCTTAAGTTTAGTGCCCAGGTGGAAAGTAGGAGTGTTCCAGCAGGAGGGAGCGGTGGCATGAACAAAGGCATGACCTTTTACATTCTATTTATTTGCCCATGTTCTTCTTTTTGCCTGACCTGTCCTTACCTGACAAATGATTTGTCTTTCAAAGTTAGCTCAGATGTTATCTCCAAGGACCTCTTTCCAAGTTGCTGCGGAGCTGTAACCAGTCCCTCTCCTGAGCCACGTACTGGACTGCCAGCTTAGTGCCTGTTGTGTTGTGTTAGTCATAATATGCCTCTCTCTCTTCCCTGTTAGACTGTGAGTGTCTCAAAGCATCAAAGCACATCTTATTTGTCTTTACGTTTCCAGAATTTAGCACAGTCTCTGACATTTTTAGGTATTCTGTAAACACCTGTTGGACTAAATTGCATTTGTCTAGAATGTGTTTATGCCTTGTATAGATTTTCCTAGTCCCCAGATTGTCAAGGGTCCTCTTAGATTCTTCAGCTGCAGTGTTGAATGGACTTGATATAGTGAGCTTTCTGTCAACTTGATATACTGAGCTTTCCATTAAAAAAGAAACTAAGATGTTTCTTTCCAATGTAACTTAATTTTTTTGTTGTCTCAGTCTGGTTTGTTTTAGGTCTTATTCCTGTGGTTCTCTGGTAATTTGCAAGATTGGATAAAACAACTAAATCTCACTCACACTTGCTTTTTTAAAATGCTTTTTCTAAGTAACCAAGCACATTTTAGTTGATGCCATGGCAAGTGAGATTTGTATCTGTGATGTTTCCGCTGAATACACACCATTGGCACTGACATTTCCACTGAGCTCGCTCCAGAAATCTAGACAGAACAGAGGCCACCAGTATAGGAGCTGGCTGTCATCCTGCTTCCCACCCACTGCACATGCCATGCACAGCTCTGGCAGGCTGTTCAGACTTCACACATCAGCTGCCTTCTTTCTCTCAATTTATCTTTGTACTGCCCATTTTGGGGGCAAGGTGTCAGCTTATTTTCCTTCAGCACCTGTTAACACCCAAAGGAATTAAAGATAAAAATAGCAGACCTTTCTATTAATGTGCTAATGGACTTCCCTTATGCTCAGAGGATTTCCAGAGGATTTGACTGGAAATCGTTAAATGCAGTGGAAATTCTAATTTCAGTGTTTGACTCCAGCAGCAAGCATACATGAAGAACACCTAGGGGCCAGACTGAAATCATCTTTATGTATGGACTCTCTAAAGGGTGAAGATTCATGTTTTCTCCATTGTTAGTAAATAAAAAGTGATTTTCTTTGTTAACTTACAAAGGGGAAAGGTGGTGAGTTTCTCCTGTACTACTGGTCCGTGTTTTTTAATGATGTTTGTTCAATATATTGTGTTCTGAGTCACCTGACCTTTAAGCCATCAGACAGAAGGCTTTGTGCCATATTTAGTTTGTCCAGACAGAGGAGGAGGAAAAAAAGGAATTAGTCACCCCTACCAGGAGGTACAGATAAAACAGAGCTCCTTACATTCCCATGGATGATATAGAAGAGCTCCTAGCTTCTTAATGTACTGTTAAAAACCTAAGACTACCAGAAACGTTTTTTAAAATCTAGCCCTTCCTTGTTTTTAATTCAGTTAAAATACTGAGATCATGGCAGGGAAATTATGCTGTGTTCCCAATTTTGCTATTTCTCTTAAGTTTTCCTGGGATTTTGTTACATGGTAAATTTAGCAAACATCATGTGATCTAATCCCAGGCAGTTGTTAAATGGAACAAATTGTGGCTCTGCACTTCAGATTGGTTTGATTCTTCTTATTGAGCCAAAGAGTAACACAAGCACCCCATTCTCAGCAGGCTCTGTGTCCTCTGTAGGGATAAGTCCTTTATCATTGGTGGCATTTCATCCACATGCACGTTGGATTGAACCCCAAGAGTTTCTGTGTTTTTGTGTATGCTTTTTCTCTCAGCAGCCTGCTAAAAATTTCAGTTAGTATTTCCCACCTACATGGAATGTTTTAAAACAGAATCAGTCTAGTAACCCACTTTGAGGAGGACAGGTAAAAACAGGCTCAATTTCTATGAGAAATTTGGGAAGGCTGCTCCTTTCTGCTGCTCTGCGAAAAGTGTGGCCTTTTCAAATTCTTTTGAAGAATCTGGTTCCAAATCTATTGTAGAAAGCCAAGTTTCATATTTTAGAGAAAGTCATGTGACCTGGATAAATAAATGATCTCAGGGCTAGATAGTATAGAAACATCAGCAATCTTAAAAACACCGAGTAATGAGTTTTCTTTCTTCTTTACAGGCCTTCTTTCAAGGGAAATTGAAAATCACTGGCAACATGGGTCTGGCTATGAAGTTACAGAATCTTCAGCTTCAGCCAGGCAACGCTAAGCTCTAAGGAACTCCCTTTGGCTACTTTGAAAATCAAGATGAGATATATAGATATATATCCATACATTTCATTGTCAGAATTTAGACTGAAACTACACATTGGCAAATAGTGTGGGATAGATTTGTTTTTAAATGGGTGTGACCAATCCTGTTTTTCCTATGCTCTGGGTGAATAGAGCCTGATGGTAGACTACTGCTTTGCAGAATTGCATACAACTGTGCATTACAAAGTTAATATGGTAATTATGGTCTGGGGTAAAATTGAGTTTCAGAATAAAATTAGGAACAGTAAAATCCAAAGAACTATGTAAACAAAAAAGCTTTTGTTTTGCTTACAAAGTATATTTAAGGATTATTCTGCTGAAGATTCAATTTAAGAGTTTTCCTTGGGAGAACTAAGTAAGAAACACAATGCCAACAGCTGGCCAGTAATTAGTGTTGTGCACTTAATGTCCTTAATCAATTTCTCAATAGTTCTTGAAATTAGTGAGATTAAGAAAAAAGTCTAAAAATTTTGCATGTCATGCTATCAGAAACAGTATTTTCTTCCCAAATCAAAATAAAAGAAATATGATCAGAGCTTGCACACAGGCTTGTTTTTAAAATAAAAATATTTTTAAAACGGGTTTCCTTCTTGAAAAATCAGTGTATTAGTCATAAAACACTATCATTAAGAATAATTGAACAATAAAGTTTGCTTTGAGATGCACAGTTTTCAAATTATAATCTCACTTCAAATATATAAAGTCCTCGGTCCTTTGTTACAATTTCCTTTTTCATGTAAGTTTAATTATCTGCATTTATCTTTTTTCCTAGTTTTTCTAATACTAATGTTATTTCTTACAATTCAGTGAGATATGGGATAAAATAATGCTTTGAGAAGAATGTTTAATAGAAAATTAAAATAGCTTTTTCTGGCCTCTCTTATTTATATTATGTGTGTTCTTCTTGCTTAGGGTTCTCTAGATAATGCAGAATAAAGAGAAACATTGGGGAATTTATAAACTGAATGTTATCTGGACATAATCACTAGTTTTTGACTGGGGAGGCAGTGTGGTATAATAGAGCACTTGACTAGGTGCCAAGAGACTTGCTTCTCTTAGGCAAATAAATAACTGCCTGCCTGGACCCGTTTGCTAAACTGTTAGGAGATTTAAGTAGATGATCCAAAGGTACCTTCTGCTCCGAATCCTGTGAGTTTCCTCAGAGCCCAGTAGAATGGTTTGGGAATTATCCAGGCCCCGCCTTGCTGCTGTTGTCATTACTTCACCCAAAGGTGGGCAGAGGTAGAAAACAAGCTGGTTTCATTTGTTTAGGTGATTGGAGCCCTTGCGTCAGGACTGTGGATCAGGTCTCCTAAGACCATTTAGCTTTGCATGTTCTGTGACCAGCAGAACAGCATTTGGTGGTAGGGCAAGAGGATACGTTAAGCCAATAGAAGTTGATCCCAAGTTCCATAAAATGAATTCAGAACACAGACCTACTTCCTAATCATAGTAGCTTCTTACTCTGAGAAGAAAAAGACTTCAAGAAAAGAGTTTCAACAAAATGTCTGATTTCTCTGTAGTTTGGATTCGCTGCTTCATTCTGTCCTCACTTATCCCACATAACAAGAGATACCTGAAATAGGCTTTAGGATAAACCTCAAAAACAAAAAGGAAAAACAAAAACTGGTTCTCAGGGTAGGAATATGTTCATATAGGATGTAATTTGTGTGCATGATAGAAAAGTACTTAGTGATAAAATAGTTTGATTTTTTTGCCCTTCTGGTATTATGGTTAGGAGGAAGGAGATTAAGTTTTAATTTGAGTTAAAACTGCCGTTACTAGTTGTGCTGCTTGAAGAGATCAAGTCTCAGTTGCCTGATTGATAAAGTGGAGATACTAATATTGGCCTCCTAGGATTATGAGACGCTAGAGAGATAACACGTAAAGTACCTACAGCAGTTGCTAGTTGAGGGTAGTCATTCAGTACATGTGAGTTCCCTTGCTCTTCTCACCATTAGCAGCACCACTTGCTCCTGGGATATGTGATTCCTGGGATATGTGATAATGATGTTTGTAGTGTTATGTCCCACTTCTGGAGTCTTTCATTTGTTCATTTAACAGGTATTTATTGAGTACCTACCATATATAGAAGGTACAATCTCACCGGAGATACTAGTCAGCTCTTTTTCTCAAGGTGCTTACATGGGGAAGACAGTCAAAGAGACAATTATTATTGACTATGAAGTGCCCAGCAGGAAATGGTTAGGGTGCTGTGATAAGCAGTCATAGTGAGGGACCTTGATAAAGTAGTTAAAAGAGATGTCTTCGAGGAAGTAATTTTTAAGCTGAGATCTGAAGGTTAAGAAGGAGCAAACCATGCAAAGAACATTGCATGAAAGGGTAGAAACAGGCCTGACTTGTTCCAAAAACTGTGAGGGGGCCAGTCTGAGTGGAATAGTGAGCAGGAAGGACAGGCCGGAGATCAGATTGGATAGATACACAGAAGCTAGTTTCATTGGGATTTGTTCATTATGGTAAGGCTTTTTTTGTATTTCATTCTTAGTGAAGTCAGGAGCTGTTGACAATATAGCTTTACAGGTGTTTATTTCTTAGGCTACATATTCGTCTTGCCATCATATCCTAGGTCTGGAACCCAGACTAATGGAGTAGCCACTACCTGGAACATCATGACCATCATGGCAGATGAAGAGAAAAAGGTGAAGTGCATGTTGGCTCTTAAAGCTTCTGCTTGAAGTGATACATACCACTTCTGCTCCCATCTCCTTGACCAAAGAAAGTCACATACCCCACCTAACTTCAGAAACTTAACATGTACCAGAAGGAGAAATTAGAGTTGGAATATTGGTGAAGAGAAATGATGACCACCAGAGGACTGCAAACGGGAATGAAATAATTTAACACCGTAGCTGGTGTGTGGAGACTGTACTGGTGGCAGAGGGCTGGAGAATGGATGTTGGGGTACAAGAAGATGGCGTCCTGGACTAGGGTGTCAGCAGTAGAGACAGATGTGGAAAAACAGGCAGAAGTAGAGCTGACAGAACTTGGTAACTGAATGTCGGGGGCCAGGGGAGGGGGGCGGTGACAAGAATGACTTCTAGTGACGGGCCAGCCGAATGGTGGATCGTGACTGGACTGGCAGTGAGAAAAGCAGGTTTCAGGGGGAGTAGTTGAAATAAGCTCTGCTTTTGAAATTTTAACTTGGAGATGCCTGGGAGATTTGCAAATAGAGATATTGAGGAGACAGTTGGATTTGACGAGCTTAGAGATGAGGTCAGCTTGGAGATACACACTTGGAAGTCATGAATATATGGGTTGATTTAAAGCTACAGGAATGGATATTACCTGGGTTGGGGAAAAGGAAGGTTGGGGTAATCCTTGAGGAACTTCAGCTTTTTGAGGTCTAGTAGAGGAGGGCAAGGGTCCAGAGAGGTAGAGGGAGAACTCCAAGAAGAGAGTATGGCCAAAATGGGAATGGCCAACTATGTCACTTGACCCCAATAGAGAGGTCAAGTAGGATGCTCTCTGAAAAGTGTCTACTTGGTTAAATTTGGTGACACGAAAGTCACTGGTGACCACTGCAAAATCAGTTTCAAAACAAAAAAACCAGTAGAGCAGTAGGGATAAAACTATATTGGAATTGGTTTCATAAAGTTCTACGAAAAATAGGAACAGAAGAGTTCCATTTGGTAGTGATATGCTCAGTTTCCAAGTGACAAATATAGAGCAAGCACATTAGCTAACTCAGGTCTAAGCTGCGTCATCTTGCACACGCTGTTCTCTGCGCCCACCCTCACCATTCTGTCCCTCCCCACTCTTGCCCCCCACCACACAGTTCACTTGGCAAATTCTCTTCATCCTTCAAGACTTACTTAGGTACCTTTGCTTTCAAGAAGCTGTCCCCATTTGTTACCCTGTAGAGCAAATCATTCCTTCCTGGTCATTTGTTTCTGTCTCCCAGCCAGTGGAGAGGTTCTTAAAGGAAAGGACTGCCTCTCATGCATCCATTTTGAGATCTCCAGCATAGTCTTGGCTGACTGTTGTTAAATGAATGAAGGAGATAGGCGAATAACAATTTTATATTCACAGAGGGACCTTTTCTGAGGATGAGAGCCTAGTCACAGAATTGCATTCTCCTAAATTGCATTCTACAAAAAAAAGACTTTTTGTAGCCCTGATGATGAAAGAGAACATTAAACATTTTTCCCTTAACCTAACTTTTCCTAATTTTTCTTTGAAAATATTTGCAGCTTCCCATAACAATCTTTCAATTTCAGACTGAAACAATTGGAAGTAGTAAGAAAAATCTGTTTATTAATGGTCTTACTATGTTTTTAAAAACTAAGTGGCAGCTGGGCGCTGTGGCTCACGCCTATAATCCCAGCACTTTGGGAGCCCGAGGTGGGCGGATCATATGAGGACAGGAATTCAAGACCAGCCTAGCCAACATGGTGAAACCCCGTCTTAATTAAAAATTTAAAAATTAGCCGGGTGTGGTGGCACACACCTGTAATCCCAGCTACTCGGGAGGCTGAGGCAGGAGAATCTCTTGAGCCGGGAGATTGCTGCCACTGCACTCCAGCCTGGGCAACAAGAGTGAGACCCTGTCTTAAATAAATAAATAAAAAGTTGCCTGGTGGGTTCTTTCTGCATTAAAATTGTTAGTCTTGTTGCTGTGCTTTTTCAGATGAATTCACACTCTCAGATTTCTACAATTTTTGTTGGATGTGTAAAGGAAAAATAATGGAAAGCATTACTAGCATGTCAAGTCCATGTAGAGGTGGGGGTATGACAAAGGAGTCACTGAGGAATTTCAGGTCAAAAAGTCCTGTCTCTGCCTCCTAGAAGCTAAGTTAGGGTAAGGCATTTAAGCCTCACCAGCATTTAGTTTTCGTTTCTTCCTCTGCAAAGGAGGGACACTGTTGAATTTTTTATTTTTATTTTTTTACAGTCACTCTCATTAGACTGTATACATCTTGAATGCAGTAATTCTGTTACTCATCTCTGTGTCTCTAGTATTAATGCAGTGTCCACCAGAGTAGCATCAATAACTGTTTCTCGGACAAATAAGGGTTAGACAATGATCATTAATGTTAATTTTAAATTATAAAATACTTTGTGAAAGGTTCAATCACATGTAAATATAAGTTCCCTCTGTTTTCCCCATATATGTCATCTTAGGAAAAAAATATGAAATTAAATCCTACAATTAACAGCTTTATCTTCTGAAACTTTAGCAGTCTCAGAAAATGGTACATTTGGCCAGGCTTACTGGCTCACACCTGTAATCCCAGCACTCTGGGAGGCCGAGGCAGGTAGATAGTGAGGTCAGGACATCAAGACCATCCAGGCTAACATTATGAAACCCCGTCTCTACTAAAAATACAAAACATTCGCCAGGTATGGTGGCACGTGCCTGTAGTCCCAGCTACTCAGGAGGCTGAGGCAGGAGAATCGCTTGTACCCAGAAGGTGGAGGTTGCAGTGAGCCGAGATCGCGCCACTGCACTCCAACTTGGGCGACAAAGCGAGACTCTGTCTCAAAAAAAAGAAAAGAAAAGAAAGAAAGAAAATAGTACATTTAGAACAGCCTGGTATAATGAGAAAACTTTGGGGCCCATCAGATGTGGGTTTTGGTTCTACCTGTGGCACTTACACAACTTTGGGACCACCTTGAGCTAATAATAAGGAAAGACTCTGAGACGGTTTCTTCGTCTGTGAAAAGGGACTCATAATGTCTGCCTTCCTGGTTGTTAGGAAGATGAGCAATTGTAGCTGTAATATGTCAAGCACATAGTAGGTTCTGAGTAGATGCTGCAAAATGTTATTTAAGGAATTTTTGTAACATGAAATTTATTCATTGGAACATTTTGTGATAATCTTTTTTTTTTTTTTTTGAGACGGAGTCTCGCTCTG